CTTGAACTCATCCAACCTTCTCATAGTGAGAGGTTTTGTAAAGCCATCAGCCAGTTGATCACCAGTGGGTATAAACTTGATGTCAAGCAGTTTGCGAGCTACTCTTTCTCGAACGAAATGGAAATCAACCTCAATATGTTTAGTCCATGCATGGAAAACGGGATTAGCTGAAAGGTAGGTTGCAGCAATATTATCACACCATAACCTTGCAGCTTGTGGAGTCTTAATACCGAGCTCATAAAGCAAAGTTTGAATCCACATGACTTCAGCAGTGGCATTTGCTAGAGCCTTATACTCTGCTTCGGTATTTGACCTTGAAACTGTAGCATGTTTCCTTGCACTCCATGATATAAGATTTGTTCCCAGAAAAACAGCAAATCCACCTGTAGATCTCCTATCATCAGGACATCCTGCCCAGTCTGCATCTGAGTAAGCAGTCACAAGCATAGACGAAGACTTGACAATACTAAGTCCAAGTCCTTCTGAGAACTCTAGATACCTCACAATTCTTTTAACCGCAGTCCAATGAGTAGTAGTAGGTGCATGCAAATATTGACACACTTTGTTTACGGAGTAAGAAATATCAGGACGAGTAAGAGTCAAATATTGTAATGCACCCACAACACTTTTGTAGTTTGTTGCATCCTCAGGTTCAAGTGCTTCTCCACTATCAATTGTGAGTTTCTCTGAAATTGAGATTGGTGTACTTACAGGTTTGCAGTTTTCCAGCCCTACTCTCCTGAGTATATCATGAGCATATTTCTCCTGTGAAAGAAGTATACCATCTTTTACCTGTTTGACCTCTATGCCAAGAAAATAATGAAGATCTCCTAGATCCTTAAGAGCAAACTCCATCTTTAAATCCTTAAGCAAACAAGTGGTAGCATCTGAACTTGAACTAGCAACAATAATGTCATCAACATATACTAGAACATAGATAATGACATGTCCTTTTTGATAGAAAAACAATGAGGTATCTGCCTTAGATGGTGTAAACCCAAGCTGTTGTAACTGAGTGCTCAATCTTGAGTACCAGGCTCTTGGGGCCTGTTTCAAACCATATAAAGCCTTATCTAACTTGCAAACAAAATGAAGTGAGCTTTTGTTCTCATAACCTGGTGGTTGCCGCATAAAAACCTCTTCTTCCAGAACACCATGAAGAAACGCGTTCTGAACATCTAACTGCCTTAAGCTCCAACCCTTGGAAACTGCAACAAATAGCACAAGTCGGATAGTAGATGCTTTAACAACAAGACTGAAAGTATCATTATAGTCAATACCAAATCTCTGCTTGGAACCTTTTGCAACTAACCTTGCCTTATACATGTCTATGCTTCCATCAGATTTCTTTTTAATTTTGTATACCCACTTGCAATCTATGACATTTATGCCCTTTGTTGGTGGTACTAGACGCCAAGTTCTGTTTTTCATAAATGCTTCATATTCAACATCCATGGCCTTTTTCCATTCCTTACTAGCAAGTGCATCATGCAAATGAGTTGGTTCACCCATACTAGTGAGAAAGGCACGTTTAATTTTATCATACCTTATAGTGCCATCAGTGTATTCCTTCTTCTTAACAATACCGGACCGAGATCTTGTGTGTCGAAGTGGAATACCTGGTGCAATAGAATCCTCAGCCGAATTTACAGCCGCAAAAGATCCGGCCGGATCCGCTGTACCAGACTGGTATGGATCCGCTGCGTCAGATCGCTCCAGATCCGAGACGATAGGAATCTCCCTCACGATCAGCGCTCCAGCGGAATCACGCCGCATGTCGCCCTCGCTGGTTGTCTCCTCGGACGCGCGGGGCGAGATGTTGGTGCTGGGCCCCGCGCCCGTCACCTGGTCGGCCACCAGCCCATCAGCCACGCGCGTGGCGCTCGGGGGGCTGCACTGGCCCGTGCTGGCTCGGCTCGAAGGACCCACGCTGCCTGGGCTGTCAGCGGCTGGCGCGTGCGACACAGAGGGAATCACCTGGGATCGCGCACCTGGCAGTCTGACGCGAGAATTTTCCTTGGATCCTGTTCTGCTGCCGCCCAAATCCTCCTGGGATCCCGTGACAACTTTGGCTGCATCCTTTTGCATGAAATCACGCCCTAAAGCTGCACTTTTATCATCAAAAATCATATTTTCTTTAGAATTAGTCACATGATCAGCACTATTTAACTCACCCCTGTGATCTGGACTAGACATATATTCCGGAAGAAGTGCAATTTCTGCACGAAGGAGAGCTCCGACATTTGGATGAAGCTTTTCAAAAGGGAATATTGTTTCATCAAATATAACATCACAAGAAATATAGATTCGTCCAGTAAAAATTTCAAGACACTTGTAGCCTTTGTGAAGGTTACCATAACCAAGAAACACACATTGAGTAGAACGAAACTCAAGTTTATTATGATTATATGGACAAAGATTAGGATAACAAGCACATCCAAACATTCTCAAAGAATTGTAGTCTGGTTTTTGATGAAACAATTTTTCCAAGGGAGTAATATGTCCAATCACTTTTCTAGGAAGACGGTTTATAAGATAAGTAGCAGCAATAAAAGCTTCATCCCAATATTTTAAGGGCATGGATGCATGATCTAGAAGGGATAGACCTACTTCGACAATGTGGCGATGTTTACGCTCAGCGGAGCCATTCTGCTGATGAGCATGAGGGCAAGAGACATGATGACTAATACCAATATCACAAAAGAAAGAGCTGAGTTTCTCATACTCTCCTCCCCAGTCACTTTGGACGGCAATAATCTTTTTGTTAAACTGACGCTCAACAAGTTTATGAAATTCTTGGAAGATGGAAAGAACTTCAGATTTAAACTTGAGCAAATATATCCAGGTGAACTTGCTAAAGTCATCAATAAAACTAACATAATATTTTTTTCTTCCAAAAGAATCTCTTGCATGACCCCATACATCACTAAAAAAAAGTTCCAATGGAGCACGAGACACACTATTTGACTTAGGATAAGGGAGTTGGTGACTCTTTGCACACTGACAAGCATCACAAACAGACTCAATACTTTGACTAGATGACAATGGAAGATTGCCTTTATTCACTACTTGCTTGACTATGACCGAAGAAGGATGTCATAATCTTTGATGCCATCTTGCCAAGGAGGGCTTAACGGCGGAGTAGACTTGATGACGACGCTTTTGACTAAGTGCTACGGATGTGATGGGATACAAGCCTCCAATGCATCTACCGTGGTGAATGAGCTCCCTCGTTGCCCGATCCTTGATGAAAAAATATGTTAGATGAGTTTCAAAAAAGACATTATTATCGGCAGATAAACGAGACATAGATGCAAGGTTTTTGTCGGCTTGTGGAACATGAAGGACATCTTTTAGAACAAGATCAGGTTTAAGAGTAGGGGAATTAATAGATGCTTGACCAATGTGACAAATATCCATACATCCACCGCTTGCGGTGTGAATTTGATCATTGCCGAAGTATCTATCTCTCATGGAGAGTTTTTCAAGCTCATTAGTGACATGATCAGTGGCCCCCGAGTCGGCGTACCAGACCGTGCCATCTCCTTCTTGCTCCCTGATTGCAGCGGCGACATGACGAGAATCAGGGACAAAATCTTCACCGTAACGGTGCCAACAGTCCATGACCTCATGGCCCGGTTTCTTGCATAGTTGGCACCAAACACGATTTCTTGAGGAAGAGCCAGAGGGGGCGTGATTGTTGTTGAAGCCACCCCCTCCAGAACGGGCAGGAGCGTTAGTGTTGGTGTAGCCGCTCCCGCCTGGTCGTGCACTTGAGCCGTTGCCGCGGTCGCGCCCACCGCCGCCACGGTTTCTCCCCTGGTGATCGCGCCCACGGCCAGTGCCGCGGCCACGCGAGGCGGCATTGGCTGAAGACTGGCGCATATTCATCCCGTGAAGAAGATTGAGCCGCGAGTCAAAGCTGAGGAGTTGGGTGTACAGCTCCTGTACGGACACAGGTTCAATCCGTGCAGCAAGGGCCGACACAACCGGGTTGTAGTCGAGGTCGAGGACGGCCAGAACTTGAGAGACAATCTCGCCTCTAGACATGGGAGCTCCGGTGCAGGCGATCTCATCCGTGAGCATCTTGATCTTGGCCAAATATTCTGCCATAGACACGTTTCCCTTCTTGAGGTTTGTGAGTTCCATCCGCGTGTTGATCACTCGTGCTTCGGTTTGAGCAGTAAACATGGCTTGGATCGCCGCCCAAACCTCCGCTGGTGTCTGCAAAGTAATCACCTGTGCAAGAATCTCGCGAGACAATGAACCCATCAGAAAGCCCTGAACCTGCTGCTGCTGTGCATACCAGAGAACGCGGGCGAAGTTGGCAATCTGCTCCTCCT